CCTGTAGCTTCACCAGGATAGTGGCTTGTGGCTTATTCTTGGTCCTTGCCCTTTGTGTTTCAGCTGTTGTGGAAGAGTCGCCTTCCCAGTGAGTTTGAGTCGAGGGGACACATCCAGCTGCCTGGAATGCCTTGTCCTCTCAGCGCTTCCTGATGGCTCAGCCCTGCATCCCCAGGCTCAGGAGCTCCAAACAGGAAACAGGGAGCTCCTAACGATGGTTCCCATGGAACCGGAGCTGGTTTCTCTTATGGAATCAACAAGGGTCACTGTGAACCTTCAGTGCCCGAGAGCTGCTGCCCTGGATGTGCCATGGGGTGGGCATCCCCAGAGCTCCGCTGCTGCTGTCAATGGGGAAGCCTCCCTGCTGGAAGTGCCTGTGGAAGGGTGAGGAGCACAAAGGTTGTTTTCCCAGTGGAAACTGTCTCTGGTTACAGAGCCCAGGCTGACAGCTCGGTGTCTGAGAGAGCTGTCAGCCTGTGCACAGCAGTGTCTGGAGTTAGGGCCCCAGGCACTACTCGGGGTGACTAAGTGCAAACCTCTTTTCTAATTAGAGAAGCCTGTCCTTTCCCATCCCCCAAAGAGCATTTCACCCATTTGTTGGGCTGTTTATCATGCTTCTGAGGGTCCTGCTCTGCACAGCAGGACGAACCCGGGGTGAACAGCCCCTTTGTGCAGCACAACCTGGTTTGCTCTCCCCAAAACACAGCCTGGAGCTTTCCAATTAGAGCCTCCCCCAGCGCCAGGAGCTCACCAGAGGATCCTCCAGCTGACATTTGTCCTCAGGCCCCTAAATCCTGCTGCTGACCAGCTCACAGGCTCCCAGCTGAGCTAGCGGAAGGCAGTGGAACACAGCGAGTGATTGTCAGCACTTGAAGGTTTTTAACCCAGATCTCTCCAGGGGGGTGATGAGCTTTCACCAGGGATCCTGTCTGTAGGCAGGAGGGGGCATATCACTGTGTCACAGACAGGAGCTGCAGGTTTTATCTCAAGAAAGGTCTTTTCCTTTCCTTCCCCCCCCCCCTTTTCTTTTTTTAACTTACATCTGCCCTGGGCCAGTTTTTGATGAGCTCCTGTCTCTGAGCTGTCTGACACTGCAAATGCTCCTGCCTTTCACATCCATCTTTGTGCCGTTGCCAATCTGTTGTGTATAAAGTCAGGGCTTTCATGAGGTGGCTGAGATGAAATCTCTCTAATTATTTCTGTGATTCTTTCCTGTGTTCAATGAGGGGAACCTCGCTGGGCTCTGCTAGAAGCCAACTGATCCCTCTCTCATGTGGAAGGTAATGAATCCCAGCAGCTCTCCTGCTCTTTCTTCCCTTCACCTCCCAGGCTCCGGGTTGGGAAGGGAGCAGGTCCTGTCCGGCCGGGAGAGGCGTGTGCCCTGCCTGCAGACACTGCCTCCCTCTTTGGCTCCTGCCAGGGTGGGAGCAGGGGTTTTTCCCTGCTTTGGAGCTGCCTTTCCAGGCGGTTACACCCTGGGAGCCCAGGAAGCTCACTGGAATTCAAAGGCTCTGCCAGTCCCTTGGCACTCGCTTTGTGCTGCAGGTTATAGGGATGGCTCCAGCAGCCTGGTGTCAGCAGAGGTGAGGGTGTTCCCCACTCCTGGGCACCGGGGTGATTGCGGGGCTGGGTTAAATCACCTCAAAGCCCCTCTGCGCTGCTGCCTGTGCCGAGCTGGTGGCAGCACCGGCTCCTACAGCAACAGACATCTCTTGCCTGCGTTGTGCTCAGCTCCTTGCTGAGCTCCTTGCACCACATGCAAACACATCCCATCAGAAGGGGCTGATGTTCTGCTACAGCCTCGCCAGGGCTGAGAGCTGGTTGGGATGGCAGGACAGAGCTCTCTGCCCCCCTTTGTGTTGAAGGTGGTGGCACCAATATGCCATTGCTTCATGGGATGCGCAGCACAGAGAGCCACTGGGATCTCCCCGTGCTGCCAAATGGAGGGGTGAGCCTCTGTCAGCCCCCTTTTCCCACTGATGTGCTGGTGTGAAGTGGGGTTTATGGCTTAACGATGCTTTCGCACCGCAGTGCTGAGCTGTCACCAGCCTTATTATGGTCGGAGGAGCCCGTGTGGACCAGTGCTAGTGCAGGGCCCGGCGCTGGAGCCCTGGGGATTCCGCAGCCTGCGTGCTCCGTGCAGCAGCTCAGCTGGGAAGCCCAGCGAGATGATTTGAATAATTTAATACCAGGCTGTGACCAAGCCTGGCGAAAGGGTAAAGGAAACAAAGAGGCCCCCAGCCCCGAGCAACAATAGCTCTTGAAGCGACAAGCCGAGGCATGTCCGCGCTGCCGCAGGCACACAGCAGCCCGGGCAAATAGGCCACTGCATTCCTCACGTCTGCTGCTTTGTTTCCTTGCAGAAGCTCCCGGTGAAAGCTGCAGGTCTTGGGGCTTCTCCCTTTTATCCTTGTGTTGTTCCCGTGTTCTGGGGAGCTGGTGCTGGATCGGCTGTGTCCCTGTGGCTCTTTGGCTAAGGAAGGCAAGGGGTGAAGGGAGCGGGTAGGGGAGGTGATGCAGGGATGCTTTGTGCATCCCGGCTGGTGTAGGTACCCTCTGTCACTGTCATCCAGGAAAAGCTCATCCCTGTTCCTGTGCTCCAGAAGATCCCAGTGACCTGGGGCCACCGCTGTCAGCAGGAAACAGCCCCGAACCCCCCTGCTGATCCCAGAGCTGATTTGATTTCAGTCCGGTCCCTCTGCTGTGGTCACATCCTCGTTCCGTGAGCCTGTGTCTGTGTCCAGCACCCTCGCTCTCCTTACCCCCGCCTTTCCCGGGCACAAAGCAGGAAGAGGACTCTCCCCGCTCCATTCCCCCAGGGCAAACCGCTCCACCTTAACTTCTTTAGAAGCTGAGGTTTGTTTTCTGTCCGTCCAGTTTAAGTTAAATACAAGGCGGGGGGGTGAATGAAGCAGGGGTGCAGGGCAGGGGGAAGGCTTCCCAAAGCCCAGATGGGTTCAAGGACTGACCCATCACAGGGCGGACAGCGAACATATCGCCTGCACAAAGGGAATTGCCCTGCTCCGAGTGTCGCCTTTGTGTGAGACAAACGCCCCGGCTGTGATGTTGAGAGCGGGGAGGGCTTCCCTTAGGGAGAGGGGGGGAAAAGGGAAGGATCTTTGTTTGCAGGGTCTGACACCTCCCAGCCGTCCTGCCGGCACAGCCAGCACCTCCTGATGGCTTTGTCAGCTCCTGGCTAATTAGCAGAGATGCTCCTCAGCGAGGTTAGGAACGAGAAAGGTTTAAAACATCAAAGAGAAGTGGTAAATAGTGATAAAACTCAGAGCTGGTCCCTGCCTGTCACGGGAGATGAAGGCTTTTTAAGCTCATCTAAGCAGGAGTGATGCAGGACGGGGCTTGGAGCAGCCTGCTCTAGTGGAAGGTGTCCGTGCCCGTGGTGGGGGCTTGCAACTGGATGAGCTTTTCCAACCCAAACCGTTCTGTGATGATTCCGAGTGTCCTACGCCTGCTATGGGGTAGCACAGGGGGTCCCCTCACCCCGTGGGGTACCAAGGGCCCATCCTTTTGGTCTGAGCCCCATCCCATAGCAGTGTCCGGGGCTGGTTTTTAGACAGGTCCCGGTTGAGGGTTGTTCAAGGCGAGCCGAGCTCCAGGGGTGCTGTGACTTAGTGGCAGAACCAGACGGACCACAGGGCTGTTTGTACATCCTGCCCTGGGGGGGTCACGGCTCCGGGTGAACCCAAGCCCAGGCTGCCACCCCTAAGACAGCTCCGAGGTGCCCGGTGCACCCCTCTGCTCCCTGTACCGGCTCTTGTTCCTACACGTTGGGTTTCCAGCTCTCTGGAAGCTGGTTAAAGTTTAGCTCAGTGCTCTCCACCATCCGAGGCTGCCAGCTCCATACATCCCTGCAGTGACTGTTCGCCCTTCATGTATGTTGACACAAGCTTCCCTGCTATTTGGGTGTCAGGAGTTAAAGCCCTGTTGCAGCTCAGGTCAGGGTAACCCCCAAAAAGAGCCACCCATCCCCTTCTTGGCAGCTGGGGCAGCAGGCGGGCAGCCTGCCTTCCCCCTCGGGCTGTTGTAGGGGTTTATTTTAAGCAGGGAGAAGGGTAACGTGAGCTCCTTGAGTGACAAGTGATAGAGCTTGACTTGCTTAGCGTGTCCCCCAGGAATCCCTCTCCTCTGCCATTTGCTAATTGAAAACTGCTAACATTTGGGGCTGGAGCAACTGCCGCCCTTAATGGGAAGCTGGCTGGAGCGTGCGTTGGTGGGACTAACACATGCTCACAGCCTGTCATCTGCTCGTCTCCATCTCTAGGGAAAGGGGCAAATACTCCCATATGCTGCTCCGGTTTCTGCAAGAGCAAAGTGGGGGCTGGAGCCAGACAGATTTGCTTTTATTCTCCCTTCTCCGAGCTCTTGTGAGGTTAGGAACCGCAGGCTGGAGGGATGCTGTTGGATCCTACTTATCTGTGTAAGATGAGGCCACGGGAGCGTGGCATGTGTCCCCATCGTGCCTGTGGCACATGGGGGGAATCAGGGCAGCCCCTCTGTGTCCTGTTGCTGCCAAGCAGGAGCGTGGTACCCCCAAGGAGGGGACACTGGGGCAGTGAGGACAGCGCATTGTGTGCCCCTAGCCCGCAGCCAGAGCCCAGCCTGGGCCAGGGGAGGCTACAGCCGGGGAAGGGGGGTCTGCACGTTGGTCTGGCACTGTATGATGTGATATGATACGATATGACATGACATGACGTGATGCTCCCCAGACTCCTGGGGTGGCTGCACCCAATGCAGGGGGTCCCAAATCCCTTCCGGAGGGTCTGTGCCCAGTGCAGGGAGTTCCACCCCCCCCAGGAGGGGCTGTATCCTATGTGATGCTCCCCATGGTGTCTGTACCCAACGCGGTGCCCCCCAAACACCCCCCCCCCCCCCATGTGATGCTCCCCGGGGTGCCGGGTTGGGGGGGGAAGGTGCGGGGAGGCGGAGCCCGTGCGGGAGGCGGCGAAGCCCGGCCCCGGGCTCGGGGCGGTGTCGGTCCGGTTCCACCGCCCCGTCCAGCCCCCGGGCGGAGCCGGGCACTGAGCGCGGAGCGGAGCGGGGCGCGGAGGAGCGGAGCGGGGCGGCGGGATGCCGGGCTACGACTACAAGCTGCTGGAGCGGCCGCGGCGGCGGGTGCTGTGCCCGCTCTGCGGGAAGCCCATGCGGGAGCCCGTCCGCGTCTCTACCTGCGGACACCGCTTCTGCGATACCTGCCTGCAGGAGTTCCTCAGGTGAGCCCCGCCGTGGCCGCACCACGAGCACCCTTTCCCCTATGGGGTGCCCCGGTCACACCCCGGTCCGGGGTGCTGCAACACGGGGGACACTGGATGCTTCTCCCCCCCCCCCCCCCGCACATCACTACCGGGTGCGGGGCCCCGGGGAGGGGTGCGAGGAGCCGCGGGGTGCTCAGGACGGGGAGGTCGGGGCGGCCCTGGGGATGTCCCAGGGTGGGTAAGGGGTTACCCCGTGTTGTTGGGTGCTGCGGGTTATGGGGTGCTCCGGGTTGAGGTGAAGGGGTGCGGGGCTCGCCCAGCCCGTGACAGCCACCCCACGGGGTGCAGCGGCCCGTGGCCCCTCTCGGTGAGGAGGAGGAGGAGGAGGAAGAGGCCGGGGGAAGCCCGCAGCGGCGAGTTTCGAGCGCTCGCAGAGATTTGTGTTTAACCCCTTCCCTCCACGGCTCCACTGGAGGAAGCGATCGTACATGCGGGGGGGGGGGTTCGGCTGCCCCGGTACGGCCGTGCCCACCGTGACCGAGACCCGGTCCGTGCGCACTCATAGCGACCAAGGGGACAGGGCCCCTTCCCAAGGGCTTGCTGTTTACCAACCCCAGCCCCGGTACCGGCCCCGGCGCTGCCGGCTGCTGCCCGCGGGGCTCCGTGCGGTGCCGGGGTCGCACCGTGCCCGGTGCCGGTGTCCCCCGGGCCGGGCTTGCGGCGGTGCCGAGCGTGCCCTCGGGGCCCTGTTTCCGCCGCCGCCCCCGCCTGCACCTCGCCCCAACGAAGCGACCTTTGCCCGGTGCGGGGGCCCCGCGGGCACCGTCACCGGTATCGGTGAAACCGGGCGTTCCCCGCGCCTGTGCCACGCAGCCCCGCTCCCTCCCGCACCGTCCCGCGGCTCCTCGGCGCTATCAGCGAGGTCAGACACGGGGGTCCCGCGCTGACACCCCCCCCGTGGGCTGAGCCATCCAGCCCCAGCGCGGTGCTCGGGGGGGTGTTTGGGGGTGCTGGGGCTCCCCCACCCCATCACCTCGCTGCTCCCCGGCACGCTGCGAAGGTCAGAGGCAAGGACGGTCCCCCCAGGCGCTGCCTCAGCACATTCCCTGCCTGGCCAAGCGTGAGGAAAGGGGAGGCTTTGTTGGGGATTAGACGCTGGCTTTGGGTCGCCGTCCCTCTTTCCCTGCCAGCCTCAGCACCCTGACACCATCCATGGGGCGCAGGCAGGGCTGGATGCCCCCGGGGAAGCCATTGCCAGCCATGGGGCGATGCCATGGGCTCCCCGGAAGGGGCTGGGAGCAGCTCATCTGCCCGGGTGCCTGGTGACCCCCAGGGGAACACCTGCAGCCAGCGGAGCGGGCACACGGATGTGGTTGTGCCCCACGGGGTCCCACTGGCAGCACTGGGCTGGATTCACTGGGGGGGGGGGGGATGTCACTTTGGGGGGCACAGGGGTGGTGATGGAGGGGGTGTCACTGCGCTGTGCCCGGGCATCCCAAGCCAGCACGTGCCAGGCGGCACTGCTGGATCCATTGCTCCGAGTCACATCCGCTTGGCAGCTCCGGTTGAGGCCACGCTGGCGCCTGCCAACGGTGCGCGGTGATCAGACGTGGAGGGGTTGGGTGTGCGCAGGACAACCTTGTGGCCTCATCCGGACACCCAGGGTCCTTGCGCTGTGTCCCAGTGTCCGTTGGGAATGGCGCACGGGTGCCAACCTCATCGGTTCCCAGGCAATGTCATGGGGGCCAGGAGTGATGGTGGTTCCTGGCCAACAGTGTCACCGTCCCTGCTGCCTGTTTGGCTCCATCCCTGGCTTTCCATCCCGTAGAGGCCAGGCTGAGCAGAGCCATTCCCTCTTCAGGGATGGCTCTCAGGATGAGCACCCCATCCTGGGCCCCAGCAGGATGGGGACCCCTCCAGGACAGCTGCGTGTCCCCATATCCTGCCTCACCTCAGTGGCTGGTGGGGCCGTTTCCTGTGGAGCAGGAGCCCCGGGGCCATGCATCCGGGCTGCACATCTGGCATCCAGCTGTGGCCTCCCACTGCTCCCCTGGGCCCCGGCATCTCAGGCTGTGGGTGCCCATGGTCCCCACCACGGTGCTGGCCGCCGCCAGCGGCACCCTGCTGTAATCCCAGGGGAATTGGGGTGGGCAAAGGGGGGGGGGATCGGGGTCCAGATGGTGCCACGCTCACAGCGGCTGGTCCAGGTCTCTGGGGACCGGGGCAGCCGTGCCGGGCCCGGGGGGCGGGGGGGGTGTGTGTGTGTCTGGTGGGGGCATTTCCCAGCTCAGACAGATGGAGCGGGATTAGAGCTGCGGCTCCCCATGGGCTGGATTTGGCGCGGGGCGAGCGCTCGGCGATGGAGGGTCAGCACCAGCTCCATGGGGTGGGATGGTGGGGACCCTGTGGGGCATGGTGGCTGTGTCACCGGTGCAGTTCCCAGCCCTCAATGACCCGGACCCTTCTGTCTTGTAGTGAAGGCGTCTTCAAGTGCCCCGAGGACCAGCTGCCCCTGGAGTACGCCAAGGTGAGCCCGGCACACGGATGGGATGCGGGACATCGCCATCCCTGTATCCCCCACTGAGCGGCCACCCCCTGCCCCACGCTCCCGCCTGGCACAGCCGCACCAGCCTGGCACAGGCACCCGTGCGGAAGCAAGAGCCCTTTGTGCCGTGGAGCCGGGAGCGGAAACCCCATTCCCCACAAAGGGAGCTTGTTCGTGTGCCGGCGGGGGGGATCCGGCCCTGGGCAGCGTGCCCACAGCTCCCAGCCAGGCCAGGATAGGGGTCCCTGTGCCCCCCGCCACCCCAGCCTGCTTTGGGATGCTGATGCCATGGTGCTGCTATCCCAGATCTACCCCGACCCGGAGCTGGAGGCGCAAGTGCTGAGCCTGGCCATCCGCTGCATCCACAGCGAGGAGGGCTGCCGCTGGAGCGGGCTCATCAAGCACCTCCAGGTAGGGGCCAGCGGGATGCGTGTGGGGGGTCCATGCACCCCATATGCACCCCATAGACCCCCCTTCACCATCCCATTGCCCCCCTGCCCAAGGCCCATCTCGGTACCTGCGGCTTCAACGTGATCCCGTGCCCCAACCGGTGCAGCGCGAAGCTGAGCCGCCGCGACCTGCCCGAGCACGTCCAGCACGGCTGCCCCAAGCGCCGCGTCAAGTGCGAGTTCTGTGCCAGCGACTTCACCGGGGAGGCCTTCGAGGTGGGCAGTGCTGGGGGGCAGTGTTGGGGGGCAGTGTTGGGGGGCAGTGTTGGGGGGCAGTGTTGGGGGGCAGTGTTGGGGGGGCAGTGTTGGGGGGCAGTGTTGGGGGGCAGTGTTGGGGGGGCAGTGTTGGGGGGCAGTGTTGGGGGGGCAGTGGTGGGGGGGGCAGTGTTGGGGGGCAATGCTGGGGGGCAGTGGTGGGGGGTAGTGTTGGGAGGCAATGCTGGGGGGCAGTGGTGGGGGGGCAGTGCTGGGGGGCAGTGTTGGGGGGCAGTACTGGGGGCAGTGGTGGGGGGGGCAGTGGTGGGGGGGCAGTGTTGGGGGGCAGTGTTGGGGGGCAGTACTGGGGGCAGTGTTGGGGGGGCAGTGTTGGGGGGCAGTGGTGGGGGGCAATGCTGGGGGGCAGTGGTGGGGGGCAGTGTTGGGGGGCAATGCTGGGGGGCAGTGTTGGGGGGCAGTGGTGGGGGGCAGTACTGGGGGCAGTGGTGGGGGGGCAGTGGTGGGGGGCAATGCTGGGGGGCAGTGTTGGGGGGCAGTGTTGGGGGGCAGTGCTGGGGGCAGTGTTGGGGGGCAGTGTTGGGGGGCAGTGTTGGGGGGCAATGCTGGGGGGCAGTGTTGGGGGGCAGTGGTGGGGGGCAGTGTTGGGGGGGCAGTGTTGGGGGGCAGTGCTGGAACACAGTGGCCATGGAGAGGATACAGATGGACAGGGGTGTTACAAGGGGCATGGCCTTGATGTGGGTATCATGGGGGTGTAGCCTGGTCGGGAGGAGCAATGTGGGGACTTAGATGGGCTGCAGGGCACCATGGGGCCACCATAAGGAATACAGCCTGGCAATAGGGACACAGCCCAGGTGTGGGACCCCAGTTTGGCCATGGGGCACCGTGGGGGCCACAGCCTGGCCATGGGGACACAGCCTGGGTGGAGGACACCATAGAGGACACATCCTGGGTAGGGAACACCCTGTGGGACACAGCTTGGCTATGGGGGGCACGGCACGGCCGCGTCCCTGGCCCACGCGGGCAGCCGGAGGGTGACGATGCTGTCTTGGTGCCCAGGGCCACCAGGGCACGTGTCCCCAGGAGAGCGTGTACTGCGAGAACAAGTGCGGGGCCCGCATGATGCGGCGCCTGCTGTCCCAGCACGCCCTGACCGAGTGCCCCAAGCGCACCCAGCCCTGCACCTACTGCGCCAAGGAGTTCGTCTTCGACACCATCCAGGTGAGACGGGGCCCACGGGGACCCCCTCGTCCCAGCTCCTGCCCCTGGCTGACGGCCGCTCTCCATCCCCAGAACCACCAGTACCAGTGTCCCCGGTACCCCGTGCCCTGCCCCAACCAGTGCGGGACGCCCAGCATCGCCCGCGAGGACGTGCCCACGCACCTCAAGGAGAGCTGCAGCACTGCCATGCTGCTGTGCCCCTTCAAGGAGGCTGGCTGCAAGCACCGGGTGAGTGAATCCCTGTGAGCATCCTTGTGCTGCCCCCGTGTGCCCCGTGGCATCCCCGTACCTTCCTGCTGCCCTGTCCCCTCTGGTGTCCGTATTCTGCTCTGTCCCATCCATGCCATAGAATCATAGAATAGTGAGGGTTGGAAAGGACCTTAAGATCATCCAGTTCCAACCCCCTGCCATGGGCAGGGACACCTCACACTAAACCATCTCACCCAAGGCTCTGTCCAACCTGGCCTTGAACACTGCCAGGGATGGAGCATTCACAGCCTCCCTGGGCAACCCATTCCAGTGCCTCACCACCCTCACAGGAAAGAATTTCCTCCTTAGATCCAATCTGAACTTCCCCTGTTTAAGTTTTAACCCGTTACCCCTTGTCCTGTCACTGCAGTCCCTAATGAAGAGTCCCTCCCCAGCGTCCCTATCCTTGTCCTGCCTCATCGCTATTCCCCTTTGCCACCCGAGTGTCCCCACGACATCCCAACCAGGTGTCCCTGTGCCACCTCTACGTCCCCACAGCATCCCCGTGCCATCCTGCTGCAGTACCACCACGCTCCAAAGCCATCTCCATGACAACCTCACAGCATCCTCCTCCCATCCTGCCCCATGCCCCTGCTGACGTTCCCGTTGTCCCCGCAGTGCCCCAAGCTGGCCATGGGCCGTCACCTGGAGGAGAGCACCAAGGTCCATCTGGGCATGGTGTGCGCGCTGGTGAGCCGGCAGCGTCAGGAGATCCTGGAGCTGCGCCGGGACGTGGAGGAGCTGTCGGTGAGCAGCGACGGGACCCTCATCTGGAAGATCTCCGACTACACCCGCAAGCTGCAGGAAGCCAAAGCCCGCAGCAACTACGAGTTCTTCAGCCCCCCTTTCTACACCCACAAGTACGGCTACAAGCTCCAGGTCTCGGCTTTCCTTAACGGCAACGGGAGCGGGGAGAGCAGCCACCTCTCCGTGTACATCCGCGTGCTGCCGGGCGAGTACGACAACCTGCTGGAGTGGCCCTTCTCCTACCGCGTCACCTTCTCCCTGCTGGACCAGAGCGACCCTTCGCTCTCCAAGCCGCAGCACATCACCGAGACCTTCCACCCCGATCCCAACTGGAAGAACTTCCAGAAGCCGGGAGCGTCGCGCAGCTCCCTGGACGAGAGCACCCTGGGCTTCGGCTACCCCAAGTTCATCTCCCACGAGGACATCAAGAAGCGGAACTACGTGCGGGATAACGCCATCTTCATCAAAGCCTCGGTGGAGATACCCCAGAAGATCCTGGCCTGAGCCCTTGGTGCTCCCCGGGGGGACAGGACACGAGTTGGGCACCCGCCATGGGGTGCCCCATTTGGTGCTGAGCCCCTGCCTGCCGCTCGGGTGGGCAGGGATAGGGCTGCTTCCCCATGTCCATCCCAGGGCTGGGACCCTGCTGCAGCCCCTTTTCAGGTGCTTGGGGGGGTGCTGGGGGGCTGGGACCCCCAAGCCCCTCATGGGGTGCCCGGTCTCCATGGGGACCCCCTGCCCAGAGCCATATTTTGTAAGCTGGTGCCCCCCGGGAGCACGGTTGTTATTTATTACCCCGGGCCCCCCCTCCCCACCTCTTGGTTTTGGTCAATAAACGTCTCTTGTATTTATTATGGCCGATTGAAAGCTCCTTCCTCTGCCTGGGCAAGGACGGGGGGGACCCCTGTGTGCTGCCCCCCCTCCCAGCAATGGGGTGCTCATGGTGCAGCCATTGGGCTGGGGGGCTCGGAGGGTGGTAATCCCTGACCCACATCCCGGCAGCAGCAGACGGGTCAGATGGAGATGGGTAACTCAGTAATCACCAGCAATGGGATGTGCTGGGGGTGCCACCAGACCTGGGGTGTCCTTCAGCCCCCCCCCCCTCCAGGCAAGCCAATTACACCTTGGGGGGAGCAGGGACTCAGTACAAGGGGGTGGGTAATGGTGGAGGGCACTGAGGGTGTTTTAGGGGTATCTCAGGGATGTGGTGTCCCGTTCCCCCCTCCAATCACCCCAGCGGCAATGAGGGTGTCGCATCCCTGCAGCCTAATCCCACAATTGCATTAGTGCTGCTCCGACTTAATGTAATTAGCGCCTAATTAGCTGCACCCGCGGCTGGGCTGGGCTGGGCTGGAGGGTGGAGAGGGGTAGAGCTGCTGCAGTGTGCTCATACCTCGTGTTGTCCCACCCCATCATCAGCCAGTCCTGTAGCCCATTCTGATGCCAAGAATTAGCCCGTTCTGGTGCCCAGCATTAGTTCATTCTGGTGCCCTGAACCAGCCCGTTCTGGTGTCCAGCATCCGTTTATCCTGGTGCCTAGAATCAGATCATTCTGATGCTCAGAATCAGCCCGTTCTGGTGTCCAGCATCCGTTTATTCTGGTGCCCAGAATCAGACCATTCTGATGCTCAGAATCAGCCCGTTCTGGTGTCCAGCATCCGTTTATTCTGGTGCCCAGAATCAGCCCGTTCTGATGCTCAGAACCAGCCCGTTCTGGTGTCCAGCATCGGTTTATTCTGGTGCCCAGAATCAGATCATTCTGATGCTCAGAATCAGCCCGTTCTGGTGTCCAGCATCGGTTTATTCTGGTGCCCAGAATCAGATCATTCTGATGCTCAGAATCAGCCCGTACTGGTGTCCAGCATCGGTTTATTCTGGTGCCCAGAATCAGCCCGTTCTGATGCTCAGAACCAGCCCGTTCTGGTGTCCAGCACCACCCCATTTCGGTGCCCAGCTCCAGCCCATTTCAGTGCCCATCATCAGCCCATTCCGCTGCCCAGCACCAGCCCGCACCGCGCTCCCCCTCCTCATTCCCCGGCTTCCCCCCCGTGCTCGACTCGGTGGCGCCGCCTCGCGGTGTGTTGTGGTTTCACCCCAGCCGCCGCTCTCGGGCCCGTTCCCACTCGGTTTTGCCTCCTGCAGACCCTTGTGCTCCCCTTTGACCGCTGTGTGAGGGGCATCCCCCGAGCACATCCTCCATCCCTCTCTGCACATATCTTACCTTTAGATATATATGTATATCTATAGGTTGTATTTGATGTTTTACGTAGTATATAATTTATATCTCTACACATATAGACATACATATATATATTTACATATATATGCACACACACTGTATAGGAGCTGTCCCATTCGTACACCACAGCAGGGTGTTGGCAGCCCCTTGTGCCCCCCAATTATTATTATTATTACTATTATTATTACAATATAGTATAATATTATTATTACAATATAGTATTACAATTATATAATAATTATTATATGTAATATATGTATGATGTATAATAATTATATTATTATATATTACAAATAATAATAATAATGAAGAACCCCCCCCATATAGTTATTTGTGACCTAAAGGCTTTATGACCTAAAGCTACTGCGGGCAGTGCCGCTGGCTGAAGCCTGTGCAGCACCTCCTGACTGTGCTCATTCAAAGCCCACCCAAGGGGAAAACCAACCCCAGGGAGCCGAGAGCTCCTCAAAGCCCAGGATCCATCCCTCTGCTTCCCCTGCTTGGGGCTTATTCCCTTTTCTTTGCCCTCTCCAGTCACTGAAGTGCTGTTTGCCATCAGGTGCGGCTCTCCAGTAGCTCTGATGAGCCCCACCGCACAGCTCCCTTTATCCCGGCACGTCGCAGCCGGAGCCACGTCTCCGTGCGGTGCCTGGCTGGAAATGTCAACCGGATCTTGAAGCACCTCTTAACCTTCACGGGGTTGGAGCAATTCCCCTGCAAGCCCCTGTCTGCAGAGCAGGAGGAGGAGATGCTCTTAACATTCATGGGGGAGCGGGAGCGATAAAATGGATTTGGTCCTAAATTTAGCCTCAAATTTCGAGTTTAAAAATAAACTTCCTGGGAAGTTGTTGGCTTGAAGGTTTATTCTAAAGGCCCAGCAGCTTGCAGCATGGCCCCTGCTCCACTGGGCCAACACGGTGAGTATCACACAACATGCTCAAGCCAGTGAGGAAAGTGTTACTAAATACCCTGGAAATCGAAGGGCCAGAGCTTAGTTTAAGACCCCAACCGCACCGAGATGCTCCTATTTAACTAAACACCAAATCCTTTTCACACCTTACAGAACCTCTGGTATAGAGATAGGGAGAATTTCTGGTGAAACCCACTGCATCTGCTGCTCTTCTGGATGCAAATGCAGAGCCCTGATGTGTGCCAATTATTGCCACTCTTCGCCAAGATGCAAACCCAGCCATTAATATCAGGAGAAAAACACAAGAGCAATTTGCTTTCACATCCTTTATTAAACACCCGGCCGCGGTCGCCCCCTCCCCAGGACCAAGGGGTTTAGAGGGTGGTGAAGGAGAAGGGGTTTATCCAGGTTAAATCCTGGTGTGATTTCACCGCTGAGGCCATCTGAGTTAATGCTGTGCGCCCGATTGCCTGGAAATGAACTGAAGTGGATTAAATACTCCAGTCATTTTACTGCAATTTGGCCTTGTTGAACATTGGAAGAGCATCCGAAGGTGGCTGATGTCCAACACAAGCTTCCCCAGCCAAGCCCTGAGGAGCTGATTTCAGCGTGCCCCTCTCCTCATTGACCAGGAGTTCTCTTCAGCCCCTCTCCATCACAAGGCAATGTGCTGCTGGGTTTTGGCACAGAACATCTCGGGGTGACGCTGACCCCTCAGTGTCTGCACCCTTTTAACCCCTACCGTGGTACAGGGAGCTCAGTGTAGGGGGAAAACCAAACACAGCCATTAAATCTACAAAGAAAACCCTGTTTGGCCCTAAGGGAGAAGCTTTAAAAGGATGGATCTTACTCTGTTGTATGCCAGAGGCCTTAAGCTTAGTTATGGCTGCAGGGACCTCTGCTGACACAGAAGTCCCCACTGGCTCATTATTGCTCCAGTAAACAGGTCTAACTACCTGCAAAGACAGAGTGAAGAGTCCTGCAGAAGGGATTCCTCCTGCTGGGGGGACAGATGAAGATGCTGCCAAGATGCTACCAGAGATGCTCCGGTGATTGCAGGATGGAGGATTCCGAGGCTCTGTCTCTGCATGGTGGGCAGATGGATGGGCGGTCTGGTTTACCCCAAACTTCTGGAGGAGCACGTGGAATACAAATACATTTCCTAGTATCTGGGAAAAGTGAGAACAGCGTGCAAGGTGTTAGCTTGGTGTCTGAAAGGTTTTGACACTCCAGCACATAGAGATGGGATTTGAGCTGCTGTGTCATTCTGGGATGAAAGCATAGATTGAATTCGATGTGCAATCACTACAGAGGGGAGAAAACCTCCCACAGCTGCACAGGGGTCTCTTCAGAACGGGTCTACAAATGTAATGAAGCCCCTTTATAATTTGGAATGATGTCAGTGAGCAGAACTGAGCTCATTACACGCACTGGTAGGTCAGCACTTGGAAGGGCACTCACTTCTCAGTCCGACCTTAGCAGCCCTAGGGGCAGAGGGACCAAGTCTCTCTGTTTTCCCTGCAGACAAGGAGGAATTGTGGCTGGACCCATAGCACACAAGCAGCAGTGTTTACAATCAGCCTGTGGTTTAATCAAACCCAGCAACAATTCCCAGTTCTCTCCTGCAAACATTCCTGCTTGGTTCCTACGGGAGCGGCTGACTCCCATGGACTGGAGTTTTCACATTGTAAAGCTTAAGGAAAATGCACAAGTGTCTATAAAATGTTAACTTTGGGCTGTAACAAAGCAGGTTTGGGATTGAACAGCTTCAGAGCTTCTGCTGGAAGCATCAGAAGGGGAAGCTTCCTCATGGAAGGGTTTACCCTGCTTTCATGTTTATCCCTCTCAGGATCTACGCAATGTCCACTTCCAGCTGGAGGAACCACCAGAATGATGATGTTCTGCTGTATCAGTGTGGTGCTGTAAAAGGGAAAGATCTCAGTGGTGATGAGGCAATGGAAACAGCTGAGGAAAACAAGTGGCAACACCTTCCTCTTTCCCCAAGGAGCAGAACTCTTATCTCCAAGGACCCATAAGGGGAACAGAAGCCTGGTGCTGGAGGTCAGGAAGTCAGCAGCCTACAAAGAGACAAGCTGAGCACTGCATGGAGCCCAAAGGCTTGTGCCAATCTGCACCAGGGAGAACGCAGGGTGAAGATGTGGCCCTGGCCCTTCTCGTTACTTCTATACCAGGCAGTGTGAAATAAACCCGTGTGCACAAGGGATTCCAGCAGAGCACAACTCCTGCCATGCGCTGGACCATCAGCCTCGGGCTTATGCCTCCCGTGCTCTTCCCTTTGGGAGTGACAGCAGCAGGGCTGGATCCCAAAAGCGGCAGCTGGGAATGAGGCAGGTCATGGTTTGTGTTCCTCTTTACAGAAGATGTGGTGGGGAAGGGAAAGGAAGGAGGAGCCCGGCAGCACCAGGCTGCTGCTGAAGGGAAAAGGTCGGTTTAAAAGAAAAATCTCACTCCTAGAACAAAAGGCAATATTTCAGTATATTTTAATAGTAAAATGATTCCCATTTTTCAAGCAATGTCCCACCTGGATGAATCTCAGAAGTGTTTTTGCTTCCCGGTCCTGCTGCCCCGGGGCAAAGTCTCAGAGGTCACAGCTCTCCCTGCGGAACGATCCCAGAACAGAACGATCCCAAACACCTCCCAGGCCTCAAAACCACTTCCACTAAGAGCACGACACGGGACTCCACTCGGTCTCTCTCTCGCAGGAGAAGAGCAGGAGGCAGAAAAATCAGCTTTTAATAACAGTCTGGGTTGAGATTTGCAGCAGGCTACTGAACAGAGGAGATGCCAGTAGTTTATTGAGTAAAAAGGAAAAGGATTCAGGTAGCAGAACTAACTCAGCAGGTTAAAGTCATCGCACAGCCCTAGATCGGTTCAGGAGGGGTAGGATGGGGGGAGACCGTAAGGGGAGCAGCTTCAGACTCAAACCTCGGCTTCCACTATCATGTACTGAGAAAAATATTGCATGAAAAGCCTCAGGGTTTTAGTTCTTCCATAGATGTATATTTACCAGTTTTCACACAGACTGCAGGAATACGATTATAAACAATAAATTAGGACTTCATGTTGCTATCATTTGGCATAACACAATCAGGCGAGTCTTCCTTTTCTGTTTTTAAATATAAGGCAACACAAGCCAACACATAATTTAATCCGTCTTTAGTCAAACTGCTTCGCTTTGCTAGAAGAGTTCCCACTAAAGAACGGCTCCGAGTACACTTGAAGGGATTTCAATAACGCCATAAGTGTACTAACTTACGCAAGGAGTCAGGAAACGTACTCTGCTAAGCTCTGAAACCTAAGGAGTTGTTACAGCCCAGGACTACACGTCTAACTTAAAAAAATACAAAGAAATGTCTCCTAATTTCTCCATTTACCCAAAAACTCGGAAAGGATTTCTAGCCAACTAGGACACCACTTCAAAACTGGTTACTTCTCTTTTTTTTTTTGTTCTTTTTTTCTGTGTTTTTAACTTTTGTATGATGTCTTTTAAAGATTGGGGTTTGTTTTGTGGTTTTTTTTTTCTCTTTGAAACCATGCTCGTGGAGGAAAAGTTCAAGGAGCAAATACTTAAGGCTTTGTTTGTTTCCAAGGGCTGTGAGGGAGGCCAGTGGATGGCTGAGGCCAAGTGGGTTCACCCATACACAATGCTACTCAAACCCACACTACCAGGCGACATTCATACAGAAATATTACACTTAAAAGTTACAGTGTAGAGCAATAGTTTTTAGCCAGTGTACATATAAAGAATCAATGCATTTAGGTTTTTTTTTTATTGATTTTTTCTCTTTTTTTCTCTTTTTTTTTTTTAATTTCCAAACTTGATTGTGATCATTATGTTCAAGTATTAGTCTCATTAACGGAGATGAGGAATTTTCTACTTACAAGAAATCCAGCTGTTAGGAAGGAAAAGGTGTGCTGTGGTAACGCTGAGGGGAACAAGATGCTGAGGTTACTCAGTAGTGTCCTACGGTCACCGACTCGACTAGCTGCTGGAAGTGATGTGGGAAAGGAACAAGAGGAGTTAGGCACCGAGACCCTGGGATAAAGGGATGTTAGAAAGAGCTTTGCTAATCCCCAGGGAGTGGAATTGTTCTGTTAAACCTGCTGTGGTGTTCCGAAGGAGAGGAATATGGGACCATTGGTCCCACGGCGGCTCACGAGCAGAGCTTCACAGCAGTGGGACCGTGCCACACTGCCCTGAGCACTGATTACATCTCCTCACCCTGAAATTCATTTTAGCTACCAAAAAGCTGAACCCTTTTTGGAGTTGTCAGTGGGTCTGGATGCCTTCACATGAGGACAGCCAGACTCCTAGCAGCGAGGGGTTCAGACAAAGCTAGCTCTTAGGCAAAAAAGGGAGTGGGGAAGGGAAATACAATGCAGAGAAAAGGCAGCGACCTATGGCAGCTATGCTGCCTCCTAAACCCACCATTCCCCCCCTTCTCCATACCCTGTCTGCAAAAGAAAGAAGTGTCAGAAATACCTGCCGGAGACTTTTGACTTTGGACAAAGTCTAAAATGACAAAGGTGGTCAAGGAAGAGCTGAAGAGCTTCGTCCTGTATTCATGCCCAAGTACATCCCCGTAGCTAGCTCGTTTCAAACATAGGCTTCTTTTTCAATTAAACAGGCCTTTAGACAGTGCAAATGGTCAATGTTTAATGCATTAATGAAATGGGCTTTCGGCTGAAAATAAGCCCTGCTTCCTGACAAATCCTCTTGCTCTTAATCTTCAGAGGAAACGGAGATGGAAATTTAAGCAGCTACGCTACCTTGCTCTTGATGGAGCTGGCGAAACCCTGCAGCAACTCAACATCAGTCCAGCAAGGAGCTGCTAAGCAGAAGCTGCACAGAAGGGGGTTCTATGGTGAGGAAAGGGCTGTGGTGTGAAGTAGTGTAATGAAATCCTCTGACACAAAAGGCATGTTAAGTATCTGATACAGAAAGGAGATAGGTAACACGTAAGCAAAGCTTTTAAATATACAGTATGTCTTCTTCTGATGGTTACTATAATGATCACACAAGTTTGCAAGTTAAAAATGCCTTGCTTATTAATTAAAATTAAGACTAAACCTCTATGTTTTTTTTTGTCTGTGAAAGTGACTGCAGCCTATCTATACCCTGGGTGTTGAATATGAAGATTTCGACTATCGGTTGGTTCAGGTGCTCGGTTCATGGGAGGCCGATGGACTTTTCCCAGCACGGCCATGCTCTGATCTCTGAAGCAGGACTGCTGGAAGTCCCCACTTAGGTAATCCATGGTCTGCATCACGTTATTCTGGCTGGATGGGCCAGCTCCAGCTCTGTAATGAGTTCCTCCTGCACAATCTAGCGGTGCTCCTGCCGGCTGTCCCCCGTGGAAAGGCATGGCGAGGTCCTGGGACCCAGAGCTGTCACTGTTGGGTGTGGGCAGAATGTTATTCCAGATGGGCTGGAAATAGTGCCCATTGGTATATGGCAAGGGTCCCTGCAACCCGTTCACAGGTGGAGAAGGTGTAGGCTTCTCGATGGGGGGCTTCAAGCTGAAGGACTGGCCCATGCACAGTTCTTGAGGGTAGTTTGAAGTTTTGACAGGGAAGCTCTGCCCGGTGATCTCTCTCTGGGGGTGCTTCCCTGCGAGTCCAGCAGGCCCAGCAGCATCCCCACACATTTGCTGCAGATGTGCAAGCTGGTGCTGGTTCCACGCAACCGATTTGATTTCGTTCTGGTACGCGGGCGGCACCCTGTTAATATTCACCATGGGCACATTAACAGAGGCAGGAGGAATAGCAGCAGCAGCATGATCTACAGGGTTAACTACACAGGAAGGCATGGGTGTAGGGACATTGTGAGTAGATACCCTGGTACTTGCATTGATAAGCAGGTTGCGACTTATAGGGCTGGGGTTTGCAATCTGTCCCTCACACACTGAGGTAGTGCTAATGCCAGCTCTGGCCTGGCAGAACTGGTTAATCTGGTGCACAATGCTGCTCAGGTCCGGTGGCTGGTTCTGCTGCAGGGTGGCAGCCATAGAGAGGGGAATGGTTGAGGTAGACACGGTCACATTCGGCGGCGCGTCTGCATCCGGCATCTTTCTGCTTCCATGTAAACCCGGCTGCAGCAAAGGATTTGGGGGGTGCTGCAGAGTCTGGTGTGCCATGGTCTGAGGATGCTGCAAGCCCTGAGGCTGCTGCATGTTCTGAGGGTGCGGCAGCGCCTGCGGCTGCGGGATCCCCTGAGGGTGCGGTAAGCTTTGTGGCTGGGGTATACCCTGAGGGTGCTGCAAAGTCTGTGGCTGCGGGATACTCTGGGGGTGCTGCAAAGTCTGTGCATGCTGGAGAGCCTGCTGGCGAGCAAGCGCCTGGGGGTGGGTTAAAGTGCTAGGTGCAACGTAAGGGGTGGAAGGGGGATTCATCATCGCTTCCGGCAGCAGACGCGTGCGTGTCCCGTCAAAGTCTTTGATAATTCCTTTTGCTGGAGATTTGACTATCGCCAGGAGGCCCGTTTTGGTGGTGGCCTGAGATGGGTAAGGACTGTACCTCTGGCCCGAAGTATCAAGTCCGTTCACAGTACGGCGTATGTGTTTCCTCTGGGGAACCTTGACACTGTTTGGGAAGATTTTTATAGTCAGTGGGTTGTTGGCGACCTTCTTAGCATAAGCATCCAATTCTGCTGGGGTAGGATACTGTGCAGATCTCATTTTCTGTGTAGTGTCCCCTGTGGAGAAAAGGAAAACCATCAATACCGATCCTGGCAATCGGAGGATCAAGCCCAGGGCAAGACAGTTGCACAACAAGAGTAGAAAGTCTCCAAGGAATCAAGAGGCAAGAACCTCATCTTCCCAGACCAGCGGGTCACGTACCAGATGCCGCATTCCCTTTATTACCTGGTGACCAACACAAGCCCCAGTTCAGCTTAAGGCAAGACCTGCCTATGGGAGCAAAACAAAAACTGTTTTCATCAGAGTGTGTTTATAGTTGGACAAAAAGAGGTAACGTGCTATGAACACTGGGCTGTCTCCAGACTGAAGTACTTCTTACAGCTTGTGGTAGTGGCCTACTTTCTAGCTTCTTAATTTAAGGCTGCCTCCCCCATGGCTCTTCAAGCCATGCTCACTATCTTTACCATGTAATTGAAAATCAGAAAGTTATGAATTAAACATTACACCCATATAATGCTGAGGTGGGAACCATACTGTGGTGGGCTGGCCCTGGCTGGACTCCAGGTGCCTGCCAAAGCTGCTCCATTATTCCCCTCCTCAGATGGACAGGGGAGAGAAAACAGGATGAAAGGCTCCTGGGTTGAGGTAAGGACAGGGAGGGATCGCTCAGCAGTTACCATCCCAGGCAAACCAGACTCGACTTGAGGAAATTAGTTTATTACCAATCGAATCAGAGTAGGAAAATGAGAAATAGAAACTAAATCTTCACCCCCCCCCAGCCCTCCCTTGCTGCAGGCTCAACTTCACTCCTGATTTTCTCTACCTCCTCGCACCCAGTGGTGCAGGGGAACTGGGGTTGTGGTCAGCTCATTGCACATTGTCTTGCTGCTCCTTCCTCTTCAGGGAAGGACTCCTCACACTCCTCCACTGCTCCAGTGTTGGGGTCCCTTCCCATGGGACACGGTCCTCCATGAACTTCTCCAACACGAGTCAGTCTTACATGCTGCAGCTCTGCATGAACTGCTCCAGCGTGGGTCCCTTCCATGGGGTGCAGTCCCTCCATAACACACTGTTCCAGCCTTGTGTCCCCCACGAGGACACAAGTCCTGCAGCAAACCTGCTCCAGCGTGGGCTTCCCACAGGGTCACAGACTCCTTTGGACATCCCCCTGCCTGGTGTTGAGTCCTCTATGGGCTGCAGGTGGATCTCTGCTCCACCATGGACCTCCATGGGCTGCAGGGCACAGCCTGTCTCACCATGGGCTGTAGGGGAACCTCTGCTCTGGTGCCTGGAGCATCTTCTCCCTCCTTCTGCACTGACCTCAGTGTCTGCAGAGCTGTTAAACTCACATATTCTCACTCCTCTCTGGCTGCAGTTCCGCAGTTTTCCTCCCCTCTTCTGCTGCCACCACCACTGGTGGGCTTGGCCTTGCCCAGCAGTGGGTTCCTCTTGTTTCCATCGGGCATAGAGGAAGCTTCTCACAGAAGCTATCCCTGCAGCACCCCCACCCGCTACCAAAACCTTGTGATGGAAGCCCAGCACACATCTGAAGCCTTCAGCTCAAGCCTCCATTTACATCTGAGTTCTTTTCTAGATGCTGACATCTGAAAGCACTTTGAGTGTCTTTTTGTCCATTAGGAAGCCCTTGTCAGTCCAAGTTCAGCAAATGGAAGGAGGCTCCACATGCATTATTTTATGGCTTGCAATTATTTCTTCAGCATGGCACCCTGCTAAGGACAGCATCCTCATATCACACAGCAATCTGACGTGATACCCTCACAAGATTAAAGATATGCTACTGCCCAGACACAGACAAAAGACTTGTGGAGACAGGGGTGTGGGGTTACTCTGGTTTAGCAGATACCTACCTTACCCACAAGCTCCAACTGCTTCTGGAAAGAACTTTAGACATGTAGGGAAATGCTTGTGCCTCTCCTGCTATAATCATATTCCAGGCAGAGCTGGGCCATTCCACCTCTGCTTCTCTTAAATGACTGCCTCCAAAAGACTCGTGAATACATGAGCACCAGGCATTTCTCTCTGCATCCAGCAGCTTCCAGTCATCACAGGTGAGGGAGAGCAGCACTGGTCTAAGAGCACTCACTTTCAGAAAGTTAAAGGTCAGAAAATGGATACCCAAAGAAAGGATAATTATAGAAATGTTAGAAGTGTCTTTAGTGACATAAGCGGCTTTGCAAGCAGGTTGTCCTGCAGCTCTAGCACAGCACGTACCACAGCACCAGTTGTATGTACTCCTACTCCCTGTGCTGTCCAAACACCAGCATCCACCACCCTTTCTCTTCATCAAAGGAAATGCTCGTTTGATATCAACCTGAAGGTCCCCTCTGTTCATATCCCTGTACCTGTCGCTGCAGGCAGGTGGTTTATATCTATCCTTTTGAGTGAGCTCCCAGTGGAGAGAAGAGCTTCGGAATGGCATTTACCTTCCCTCAAAGGCAAAGCCTTCATGAACTCCCAACCTTTCATTCTTAGCACTGTCCATGCTCATAAAGTTCTGTTTCTTCCCCAAGAGATGACCCTTGCAACTCACCATCAGAGGAGAACCACTGACAACAGACAAAGGAGCCCACATTTGTCTGTGTAATGGTTCACGTTATGCTCGCAGCACTGTCACACAAAGCTTTTCTTTTCAGATGAAAAATTATGCAGCCACTTTAGGACACCTTCACCACCAAAATTTCTCAGCCTGGTTTACATTTCTATAGGCATATTATCAAATGAGGTGGGAAACAATAAACAGATACACTAAATATCCCTTTACTCAAGGACCTATTCTGTTATACAAACTACGACGGAAGCTTTTAGAAAGCAGCTGAAACGTCAATGTTTGAACAGGCGGCAGCTATCAGTTGCAACACATCTGTAATCCCAAATCTGGAAGTGCTCCCTTCCTCTGATGAGAGAAAATAACCCCTCAGTTAAACTTAAATGACGCACTAACATCAAGTTTGGCATCCTACCACATGGCAAACCAGCTTTTAAATCCCATTCATCACTTCTAACAGCACCCGTTTTGCTTACAGCTGAGATTATGCTCCTTTTACTATCAAGTAACTCAGCCATTCTACTCAGGCCTGAAGGTGATGCATTTCTGAGTGCCCCAAAGTGCTGCTTAAAATGTGCTTTGCTAGTAGTTCCACAGGCAAGAGTCAATGACTGTAATAATTAAGACAGCAAAAAAATAGGAGAAAGGCATTATGGGGTGAGCAAGAGTCTGAGTTTCCCTACAAATACCCTACAAACCAGTAAAAATGAAGTAGGTCTGGTAACTAAGTCAACGGAAAACCAGCTAGAACAGACCAAACCAAATGGTGGTATTAGAATATGCTCATCATTCGTGTGCAAGAATTCAGGCCATAAAATGATGAGGTGGATGGCAGAGAAGGAACTACATTACAAAAACAAAGGGATGAGCTCCACAAAGCTACCTAATGGTAAATGCCGGGCAGAATACTTTCGTTGGAAAGTAATTATTTCACGTGTATTGTAAGGGAAAGCTGTGTATGTGAGCAATTACCCCAGTAAATTGGTGAGCTGCAGGTTCACACTCCTGCTAATCCCGTGGCAACCAACTCATCTGGTCACGGCCCTGCGCGCCTCTCACCGCTGGAGCTATTTTTATCATGAAATGAGATTTCTCTGCCTCACCTCAGCACCAATGTAACGTCTTTTAAGTGCATTTCACAAGAAGGCTTTAAACCCCACTGCTTTTAAAAGTGCCCGCGGTTAAATCTTCATTACCATTAAACAACATACAAACAGGCTTTCAGGATCCCTGCCCTAACGAGAGCATCCGCGCTTGGATGAGCCAAAACCCGCTGTGCCCATCTTCTGCATGAAAATCTCAGCTGCTAGAGGGTTTACAGAAACAGACCTCACCCCTAGAAAGGGCTCGTTTTGGTGATGACCCCAGATTCAGTGCCAACCTGCTCTTTCCTCTCCTGTCCATCGATCCATCCATCTATCTCATCCCCGTCAACAAGAGCTCTCCGAGAAGCACCTTTCACCTTGACTTTACAGCACTGTTGTAAAAACCACCCTTTCTTACTCAGACCTTGCATCACTGCTTCTATATCCCACAGCAACTCCAGAAACTGCCCAAACAGTCTTGAGTATCCTGACTGACTGGTCAGGTTTCTCCTGGCCTGGAGTCCCTGAGAAACCGCCTGGGTGGATAAGGATGAATTTCAGGGGGAGCCCTTCCTGTGATGCAGGCTGGAATTCAAAGCAAAACACTGGAACTGGAAGTGCTGTAGTGATCAGTTTGAAAGGAAAAAATATGTGCATATTAAACCTCTAAACTCCCACTGCACAGACCAGCTTTAAGAAGAAAGCCTCTTATTTGAAAGTGAGGAGAGAAAAAAAAAAGCTAACTGAGCTAATGTGGATTTTGAAGCATTAATAAAAAGTCTAATCTGGAAAACTACACTTAAAAATTACAAATACAAACACTGTAAATCTGAATAAAGGTTATCATGCGGAGTTCTGTGCCTTTCATAAAGGCAATAGCATTATTATTAAAGCCCACTTCCACCCCCCCAAAGTCACAAGTCACTGTTCATTAAAAAATGCTCATTAAGTCAGCTCTGCTTTGGCCAGGGGCTAGGCTGCTTGTGCATATACAGTGTGGAGAGAAATGCACCAATTAATCTTACACACATCTGCAGCAGGGGTGAGCGAGGTCTGTAAAAGCAGTTTCATTTTCCATATAAATCAGAACAAACTGGAACAGCTGAGCATTCCCCCACTGCCTGCCAGCTACTTTATGTCCTCAATTCTTTCAAATGCAGTACCCGGAGCTCTTCCCAAAGCAGGATACAGAGATGCTTTCAGCACAGGGATAAGCAGTTCTCAGTAACAGCATCAGGTACCAGCAGGTTAAGAAACTGCCCACGTATCGGCATGTTGCCTTGTAAAGGTGTAATTAGCAAATACCTGATTTATGCACAGCTACCCTCACATGAACCTCAACAATTTGCTTTCAGAACTAAGCTTTCTGATCCATCAAAAGAAACTTCATGTGATGCAAGGACCT